GCGGGTGTGGCCTGGGCTGCGGGGTGCGGCCGGGCTTCGGGGTGCGGCCTGGGCTTCGGGGTGCAGCCTGGGCTGCGGGGTGCGGGTGTGGCCGGGCTTCGGGGTGTAACAGGGGCAGCTCCCTGGGACCACAGAGGGAGGGGGTACCTACCGAATCCCAAGCCAGCGGGAAAGCCATCTTGGCGCTTGTACAGGAGGACCGCTTTCCTGCCTACGTGGGAAAGAGAAAGGACCTGAATGGATACGAGTCGCTCGCAGAGGCAAGAGCGCCGGGCCCTTGAATGTGGACCGTCCGCTTTGCCCCTGGTCACCAATGGCTGTGAGACCCGAGAAAGTGAGTTTGCCCTCTGGCTCCACGGGAAATGGGAGTAAGACCCTGAACTGCCACTTATTAAAAAAAGGAAAATGAACATGGACAAATCCACGACCTAGAAATGCGGTAAATGCCAAGTGCGAGAATCAGGCGGCACTGTCGCCTGTCAACGTGGTGACAATGAACAAGGGAGCCGGGTGCCGGTGCCCGCAGGAGGGACGGTCTGACGGCCTGGGACTCTGGGCGGCCGTGGCTGCCGGCGGCCGGGGAGCAGGGCGCAGGCAGTGCTCGCCCTTCACGCGGCCCCTCTGCGTCTCTGGGTTCCGTACCTCACGCACATATTCCCCCTTAGAGCAGTTACAACCTCAAAATAAAATATATACTCTTCGACCCGATAATTCCATTTCTAGGAGATTATACTAAAGAAATAATCCGAAGTGATGCAAAAACGTAGGCATCATGCTGTTCATGGCACAGAGATTTGTAGAAGAAAAAGAGACACTTCGATTGTAACATCGGGGGAGTTACTCTGTATCTTCAAAGTTACACAGCAGAATTTTTAGTGACATTGTTAGCAATAGATTAATAAATGACAATACAGACTGAAAGGGGTGTAATTACATGACCTCATTTTAAAATAAAATATAGACCACATATGAAAGTATGAATCCAACTTATCAGGTTGTATACAGTAATTGTATATAGTAATTATACCTCAATAAAGCTGCAAAAAAAAGTCCGCGTGTGGGCCTATAGGCTTAGGAGGGTATAAACGAAATGCGTGGGTCACAGTCCTCATTTTAGAATTGGTGGTGATTTTTACTCTCTTCTGAGTCCATATCTGTTTTCTAGTTTCTCTAATTCATTCATTTATGTTGATTCGGTTGCTCACTGAGTCGTCTGTGAGCATGCCCAGCGCTGGGCTCGCCCCTGCGGTACAAGGGCAGGCCTCTGTCTTCACGGAGACAGGACCACGTAACAAGAAAAACGTGACAGCTGTGTGGGGCTGAGGGCTGCAAGACAGGCGTCTACAGGGGCGTCAGGGAGGGTCCCTGGGAAGGCGCTGGGCACTGCGACCTGGAGAGTGGCCCCACGCCGGGGCAGAGGTGGAGGAGGGAGCCGGGGACCTGCAGGACCTGATTTCTATTGAGCAAACACCCCTCCCCTTGCTGCGTGCAGGGGGCAGGCTGCTGACAGGTCTATAACTCCAGTTTTAAGGAAAGACGGTGGCTACATGCAGGGCAGCTGCGAGGCTCGGCGCTCGCACAGGGCCTGCCCCGTGGCGGAGTCCGGGACCAGCTGTGGCTATCCACTCCTGGCGGTGAAGGGCTCGGCCTCTGGAACTCAAGTTCAAGCCTGGCCCGATGACAGGGCTTGAAGCGGTGGCCATCACCCCGCACAGCTGGGCACTCAGGAAACCGTAATATGAGCATGAAAGGTTCATTTGTAGCCGTTAAAAGAAACCTTACACATTTCAGCAAGAATCTGTTGATGTCTGTAGCATGCATTACCTGAGACCCATACAGCTTTTTAAAACCTGCTAAAAACCTTAAAATGCTAATAGCTATGACAGTTATGTAAGCATTTCTAATAATAAAACGGTGTCAGTTTTTTGGTCAAAAGAAACAAACACTAAAAGCCAGTGTTAAGGTGAACCAACATAAAAACTCCAAAAATGTGGACGGGGCCCGGAGGAGCGATCCGCAGCAGGCCCCGTGAGACGCAGCTGTAAGAGGGCCGCCGCTGAAACTCAACGGGAACAAGCTGCGTCCCGCAGGCAAGGGCGCTGCCACCCGGGGACGGGCCTCGCAAACCTCAAACATCCCTCATCGTGGCTGAGGAGCTCAAAGCCGAAAGCAGGCAACTCTTACCCACGCACCTCTTACTTAAGATGAAAGTGAAACCAGCTGGAAGGTCACTCAGCGAAGCCACGTCTCCCCGGCACCCCGTTTCCTAAGAATCCCTGAGTGCCCCGAGCAGCAGGCGTGAGCGCCCCCGAGACTGACCTGAGCACGGCTCTCCTCCAGCAGGTCGATGAGGGAGCTGATGCTGACCAGCCCCGAGCCCCTGGGGTCGAGCGTCTGCATGAGTTCTCTGAACTCCGGATCACTTATTTCCACGACCGTGCGATTGATGATGTGTCGTAATTCTTCCCCTTTTATCTGTCCATCCAGTTTCTGAGCATGGGAATGTATATAAGGGAATTTTTTTAAAAGAGAAAAAGGAAGGAAAAGCATTATGTATATTTAGCATCATTTAATAAACCGAGAGTTTTGGCTAAATAGAATTATGCTAAGAAACGAGAATAGTGCAATTGGCCCGGCCAGCGTGGCTCAGTGGATGAGCGNGCTCGGCCTCTGGAACTCAAGTTCAAGCCCGGCCCGATGACAGGGCTTGAAGCGGTGGCCATCACCCCGCACAGCTGGGCACTCAGGAAACCGTAATATGAGCATGAAAGGTTCATTTGTAGCCGTTAAAAGAAACCTTACACATTTCAGCAAGAATCTGTTGATGTCTGTAGCATGCATTACCTGAGACCCATACAGCTTTTTAAAACCTGCTAAAAACCTTAAAATGCTAATAGCTATGACAGTTATGTAAGCATTTCTAATAATAAAACGGTGTCAGTTTTTTGGTCAAAAGAAACAAACACTAAAAGCCAGTGTTAAGGTGAACCAACATAAAAACTCCAAAAATGTGGACGGGGCCCGGAGGAGCGATCCGCAGCAGGCCCCGTGAGACGCAGCTGTAAGAGGGCCGCCGCTGAAACTCAACGGGAACAAGCTGCGTCCCGCAGGCAAGGGCGCTGCCACCCGGGGACGGGCCTCGCAAACCTCAAACATCCCTCATCGTGGCTGAGGAGCTCAAAGCCGAAAGCAGGCAACTCTTACCCACGCACCTCTTACTTAAGATGAAAGTGAAACCAGCTGGAAGGTCACTCAGCGAAGCCACGTCTCCCCGGCACCCCGTTTCCTAAGAATCCCTGAGTGCCCCGAGCAGCAGGCGTGAGCGCCCCCGAGACTGACCTGAGCACGGCTCTCCTCCAGCAGGTCGATGAGGGAGCTGATGCTGACCAGCCCCGAGCCCCTGGGGTCGAGCGTCTGCATGAGTTCTCTGAACTCCGGATCACTTATTTCCACGACCGTGCGATTGATGATGTGTCGTAATTCTTCCCCTTTTATCTGTCCATCCAGTTTCTGAGCATGGGAATGTATATAAGGGAATTTTTTTAAAAGAGAAAAAGGAAGGAAAAGCATTATGTATATTTAGCATCATTTAATAAACCGAGAGTTTTGGCTAAATAGAATTATGCTAAGAAACGAGAATAGTGCAATTGGCCCGGCCAGCGTGGCTCAGTGGATGAGCGTCGACCTAGGATCCAGGAGATCTCGGTTGGATTCCCGGTCAGGGCACAGGACTAGGTTGTGGGCTCGATCCCCAGTCTGGGGCTTGCAGGAGGCAGCTGATCAATGACTCTCATCGTTGATGTTTCTCTCTCTCTCTCCCTCTCCCTTTCTCTCTCTCAAATCAATGGAAAAACACACATTTAAGAATAGTACCATTGATAATCACTATATAACACGTGTGCCAAGAGCAGCGGGGGGCGGTGGGGGAGGGGAAGGCTAGAGCTTTGCAAGCGCAGTTCCCACGATGTTCTCTGTTAGGACGTGGGCAGGAGATGGCCCGAGGGAGGACAGGGCCAACTGGGCGGCTCAACGCTGGCTGTCGCAGACGCTCGACGAGTCCCCCCTGCCCCAACCCCGCCTGAGGGCTCCGTGGCTCAGCCACAGGGGACACAAAGCTTCCCGGCAATTCAATTACAAACTCGTCAATTTACTAAGAATATTGATCACGCCGGTTTTCACCACCACCAACCTCATCTAATACATAAATGGACAATTACTTAGGGAGGAAATTTTCAGCCCTGCAGCATAAAGGAAACATATTATGAGCAAAATACTGAGAGGCAAACGTCTTCCCCAGAATAAAAAAAAGTTACCAGTAAGTAAATTAAATATCAAAATCGAGAGATACTGACGACTAGAAAAACAGGGGGAATAAAGAGCCCCTGCCTCACAGGGGAACTGTGAATATTAATGAGAAAAGGGTGTATTAAGTGAGAAATCGGTGTATAAATGTCAACCCTTACGTTGGGTCCAAAACCTGAACAGACAGAAGGTTCTCCTGGGGAAAGCGAAGTAATTTAGAGGACATGGGAACGCTGGCTTCTAGGTTTGGGAGCGAGCATCAATTTTCAGTGTCTAAACAGGAATCACCGACAATTTCTGTGTGGTTTTCAATGAATTTATAACATTGTGCATCCATCTTCACTACTGTCTAATTCCACGTTTTTGCCCCAAAAGAAACTCTGCTGATTCCCAGTCACTCCCCACTGACAACCTGTTTCTGTCCCTCTTTGCTTTTCCCCGGATCCCCCATGTAAACAGAACCCCCCGGTCCATGCACCTGCGTGTACCTGCATCGGCTCCTACCGCTCTGCACCGTGTTTCTGAGGCTCACCTGGGAGCCTGGGCAGCAGGGGTCACGGGTTTGCTCCCTTTCATTTCTGTTCCTCTTCCGTTGCACGGACGTGCCACGGTGTCGTCAGGAGTCTGTGAACGCCTGGGCTGTTTCCAGTTTGGGAATTATGAACATCTGTACGTCAGTCTTTTTTATTTCTCTTGGGCAGATACCTAGGAGTGGAAGCGCTGAGCCACATGGCCAATTGCTGTTTGCAGTTTAAAGAAACTACCGTGTTGCTTTCCGCGGCGGCTGCACCGTTTCACACTCCCACCAGCAGTGGACAGCACTTCCGTCGCTCCGTCCTTGCCAACACTTATTATTGTCTAAGGGGGCTGACTGTAGCCGCAGTCAGTGTAAAGGGGTGTCTCACTGTGCTTTTGACTTGCATTTCCCTAACGTCTAATATGTTGAGCATCTTTTCATGTGCTCGTTGGCCATCTGCATGTCTCCTTTGGTGAACTGCCTATTAAAATCTTTTGCCCATTTTAAAAAGTGGGGTTGTCTTCTTATTAAGTTCTAAGAGATCTTACGTGTTCTACAGACAGGTCCTTGACCAGACACATAATTTACGTTCGTTGTCTCCCAGTCTGTGGCCTGTCTTCTCACTTTCTTAATGGTATCATCTGAAGCACAAGTGTTGAGTTTTGATAAATTCAGTTTGCTGACTTTTTTCTTTAATGGATCATGCTTTTAGTGTCATATCTAAGAAATCTTTGCCCAACACAAGGTCACAAAGACTTATGCATATGTCTTCTACGACTTTTATTGTTTTAGCTCTTATGTTTAGGCCTGGGGTCCATCTTAAACTAATTTTTTGTGTCTCTGATGTAAGTTAATTTGTCTTCTTGCATATGGATATCCAACTGTCTCAACACCATTTGCTGAGAAGATAATTCTTTCCCTCATTGCATTTGTCAGAACTGAGTTGACCGCAGTGCGAGGGTTTGTTTCTCTCCTCTCGGCTCTGTTCCCTGGGCCAGTATGCCTCTCCTCCTGCCAGTTCCACTCCGTCTTCCTCACTGTAGCTGTAGACTAAGGCTGCAAATCTGCAAGTCAAGTACTCTGGCTTCATTCTTCTTTCCCAAGACTGTTTGGGCTACTCTGCAGACTTTCATTTCCATACGAATTTTTAAGATTAGTTTTTCAATTTCTGAAAAAAAATTTTTTCAAAAAGCCAGCTTGGAAGTTTTTTGTGGTTTGTGCTGAATTTATAGATCACTTTGGAGAGAACTGCAAGCTTAACAATGAGTGTTCCAATTCGCTTCTTCTATTTGCATCTTTTCCCTTTAGTAATGTTTTGTGACTTTCAGCGCGCGAGTCTGACACTGCTTTTGTGGAATTTACCCCCTAGGTGTGTTTTTCTTTGTGACGCTGCTGAGACTGGGGCTGCTTTCCGACATTCGCTTTCAGATTGTATATTGTTGGTTTACACAGATATACCTGATTTTTCTATATTGATCATATATCCTGCAACCTTGAACTCATCCATCAGTCCCAGCAGCTGTGTGTGCAGGTGCATGTGTGTGCATGCTTGTGCGCACGCTTGTGTGCATTCCTTAGACTTTTCTATCACACGACCGTATGGTATGTGAATAAAGACAGTGTCAGCGCCTCCTTCCCAACCTGAATGCCTTTCCTTTCTTCTCTCTTCCGATCGCTTGTCTAAAACTTGGGTGGTGTGGATAGCAGCAGCAGGAGCTGACGTTCGTGTGCTTTTCCTGAACTTCGAGGAAAAGCGTTCTGTCTTTTACCATTAACTACGAGCTTCTCATCAACGCCCTCAAGCAGGTTTGGAAGTTTCCCTGCTCTTCCTAGTTTTTCTGAAGCTGTTATGACGAGTGAGTGCTGGACTTTTCAAATACTTTTTCTTCATCTATTGAGACAATCATGCAGCTTAATTCTATTAATACCGGGTATTACGTTGGTTGATTTTTTGGAAGCTAAACCAACCTTGCAATCCCAGGACAGAGCCACATGGTCCTAGCACTTGACCCTTTTTCTGTGGTTCTGGATTTGCTCTGCTGATTCACGAAGGGCACTGGTCTGTGGTCTTCCTTTCTCCTGATGTCTTTGTCTGGCTTTGGTACCGGGGAACACTGGCTCAGGGAATGAATTGGGAAGTGCTCTTTCCTCCTGTATGTTCTGAAAGTCTGTGAAGGGTTGGTATTATTTCCTAAACCAATCTTTGTAGTCGTCACCATAGAGAATTCGCACATTTTTTTGTTAGATATATTTCTAGGTATTTGATTTTTTAAAATATTATTAGAAATGATATTTTAAAAATTCTTTTTCTAATTGCTTACTGAAATATATAGAAATAATATCTATATCTATCTTTGCGATATTGACCTTGTATCCAATGACCTTCTAAATTCTGTTATTACTTCTAATATTTTTTGAAGATTCTGTTAGGTTTTCTATGTGAACTGCAAATAATGCTGAAAATAAGAGTTGGTGAGTAGGCCGGGTACAGTGGTTTCTGGGTGATAGAAAGAGAGCCACACCTGGTGTAACTAAGTGATTGGGGCAACCGGGCCCACTCAGCACAACGGTGGCAGTGTGTGGAGGCAGGACATCCAGCTGCTGGGACGCGGGGCTTGGAGCAGGTGCAGGTGCAGGTGCAGGTGCAGGTGGTCTTCTGATCGTTCTGTGCCCCTCTCTACCGCTGGAGAGCAACCTGCTTCCCAGGGCCGTCCTCTGCAGCCAGGCAAGGCGTCCACCTCTGCCTGCTCCTCATCTCTCCCTCTGCTCCCCTTCTCCTCCCAGGTCCCAGAGTGTGGCCAAGACCAAGGCAAATGGGGAGTGGGGCGGGGGTGGGCAGGGAGTCCCACGTCGAAACCATGCACTCTGCACCTGAGGCATCTGATGGCCACTGGTGTTCCGTGACACTCCGAGTGTGAGCTCATCATTGGCAGGAACTCTGCATTATCTACCCATGTGTTCCGCCCAAGTGCCCAAGATGGGCCTGCCATGGCACGGCGCCATCCTTGCCTCTGCCATGCCTTTGTCGCTCTCTAGCTGAATCGCACGTCGATGACTGCCCGATATTCTCATACCTGCAGCGTTAGCATTATCATAGTCCTCCATCAACAGAGACGCAGATCTCACCATTTTTAATTAAATTACTTCTTCAATATACTAATAGAAGCCAAGGTGGGTGGGCACACAGAGCCTTCATTTATCTCTAAGAGGCAGCCCAGCTGGTGGACTCCAGCAGCTCCTGCTCCGCGGCTCACCAGCTGGGAGCCTCGGGCTGGCTCCTCCCGCTCCTGGTCCTCAGCAAGTGAGGGGGACCCAGAGGAGCACGCGACCACAGCGGTCCAGAGGCTGGATGGGTGAAAACAAGCCCATCACGGAGGACAGCGCCCGGTGCGGGAAGCGCTCCATACATATCCCTGTTCATCCCGAGGGCCAGTCACACGGGGCCTGGAGGTGAAATCCAGGCGCGCTGGCTGAGACGGCCCGCAGGACACAGAGCCCGTCTCTGAATCCACTCGGCTCGGAAACCCGAGCAACGGCCTGCTGCACTGACCGAGGAGAGGGGCTGCGTCTCCAGCAGAGGGCAACCCGCCCACCCTGAAGGCCCCTCCGGACCCCAGGGGCTCCTCCCCGGGGCAACCCCACTGAGCAGCCTGCCCCGTAGTCGGCCGGCTTTGGGAGGGTGACGCCCAGCCCAGGTGACTCCTCTGCTGTACATACTTGAGTCCGAGGGAAAGTAATTCACTGTGGTGCTGGTTACTTCTGAGAGATTTGGTTATCGAAGGCGCTTAGTAAACGATGAACTTAGAAATGTTGCCTACATATCAAATACACCTCAATACCGCTTTTCTCAAATACACACTAGAGGGGACAGGGGCTCACGTTTCAAAGCAGGTTGCAAACTCACCAATGAGCTCCCTCTGCAGTACAATCCAACGATTAAACAGCCTACTCTGGAACTAAGAACAGGTTCCTGTTATGGGCTGCAAGCCAGTCTGCACCCTAAACTCTAGGCTGGGGGGGGTTCAGTGGGTCTGGATTACTCACTAATTCAACAGTTAATGATGACTAGTCCCTCTATCCCTAACAATCCTGCCCCACACTCGTCTCAGCCCCTGCTGTGTGCCTTCCTGTACTGTAATAAATGTCATGTCATCGGTTGTCCAACTCCTGAGGCCAAACCTCAGGTTCCTAAGCACTCTAAGTAATTCCCAGCATATAGCAGGAGCTCAGAAAGTATCTGATGGGCAGATAAATGAATGAATATGCGCAGCTGTTACTGGCCTTGCTCTGACCAGCAAGCTGGCATTCTTAGAAACAGTGAGCAGTTCACCAGAGAAGGGTTGGAAACCTTACCACGCTGATGGCCAGCAGGGCTCTCCTCAACGCTGTATAGAGGTCTTCGTGCCTGAATAGCTTGGTGATAATGTTTTCCTGGCAGTACTGATTTCTAGAGTTGGTGCTACAACAAGATTAAGAACAAAAACACAGAAATAAGATTATGCTCTTGACTAAGATTTGTTCTTACTTAATGCAAAAAAATAAAATAAAAATCACACTCATCACAACTATAACGGTTTCCTCGTGGGTAGCTCTTCTCCTGAAAGTGTAACGTGCGTGAGCAGGCCCCTCGCCCCTCGATCAGTGTGATACCTTGTAAGGGAGGCGGCATGGATGCAGTTGCCCGAGTCAGCTCTGCTGTGCCAGCCTCTCCTCGCCCCATGCGTCTGCCTGTGGCCAGCCGGCCAGCCAACCAGTGCCTCGGTCTCAAAACAGACCGGGAAAGACACCAGGATCACTGCGGAGCCTGTCACTGCCTCGGGCAGTGTCCTGTGGCCCACTCACCCATATGAGAACTGAGGGCTCACGGTTCCGGTTTTAAACAGTAGGGATATCAACCTCCACGACCTCCTCCTCTCCACGGACACTGGCCAGGGCCACCCATGTTATGAGACCCCTCGCCGGGTCCATCACCTGCACGCGTGCTCCTGAAGGCCAAGAGCACCCGCGCTGGAGGTCAAGGCCAACTCTGCTATGGACTCTCATCAGAAAGGGGCTGCAGGACCTCGTAATAAAATGCTCCCCTTTTCAGTGTCAGTCAGACAGTGCGGCATTTCCCACTGAATGAATGAGTGAGTGGGTGAGTTCACCTGCTCAACGACTCTCACGTTTGTCTGGGGGACGTTATTGCCCCATCTCTACAGCCATCTTAGTTTTTCCAGTTGTGTGAAAACATATAAACCCCACCACCACCACCACTTTTAAGAAACATGAAGTAGCAGGACTCCTGAGTGGAGTTCCTCATGTGGTTTGCTGGAACCTGGCTTCCTAAAGCCCACTAGCATGGCACCAAGGGACGCTTTCGGCAGGACTTTTTATCCAGCTCGGCACCACTGACACTGGGCTGGACAGTTCTTTGCCTTGTGCATGTGCGCATGCATGTGTGTGAGTGTGCATGTGAGTGTGTGCACGTGCGTGTGTGTGCATGAGAGTGCACGTGTGTGCATGTGTGTGTGCGCGAGTGTGCATGTGTGTGAGTGTGTGTGCACGGCTGTGTGTGCCCGTGTGTGGCAGGGATGCTAACCAGTGCACTGTGTGATGTTTAGCAGCCTCCCCGGCCTCTGACCCACTAGGTATCCGCGGCACCCCCTCCAGTTGTGACAGCCCACAATGTCTCGTGACATTGCTGAATGTCTCCTGGGTGGCCAAGATCGCCTCCAGTTGACAATCACTGTTTTAAAGTAAATAAAATTCACATTTCCATTCTTATCATCCTGGACAAGTTGATATCAGACAAGAGAAGTTCAAAGAAACAAGTAACCGCTCAAGAAGTGAACTCGTAGAGGTGCGCCCCCAGAGCTGGGGGGTCGTAGAGGTCCACACCCACGGCTCTGGGGCAGCGGCGGAGTCTGAGGTGCCCTGCTGAGTGCTCGCCCTTGCCTCGGGGCCCCCACGGTTACCCGAGGGCACCAACCTGAAGGCGGCACAGGCACAGGCCCCACTCGGAAACCACGGTGCCCGGGGCCCACAGCCTCCCCTGCCCCATGGTGCCTGCGCCACGCAGGGCGCCGGGAAACCAGCCCATGCGCTTCCCTCCTTCCCACGTGACGGTTAAACACGCGCCCCCGCCCAGTTTGACAGGT